TTCCCTGGAAACCCTTTGCTATTCCCTTACTTTGGTGCTGAAACCATCACGTTCTTGTTCCTTAATGCCCCAGTAAACCCTTGGAGAAAGAGGTGTTTTCAAGATGTGGTGGGGTATCTCATGTAGGAATGTACAATGGTTAGACACTAGCGCTCTTGCTTTCAAGAAGCAGTCTTGCAAGTAATGGCTCTGGGTTATGTCACGGGTTTGTTACGGTAATAGGCAGACTACACAAATACACCCTCCATTAAATTCCCGTAGCCCTATAAACCCTACACCCTGCACGCGAATCCTGAGCCCCCTAAGACTCCTATGCCCCCTACGATGAGATATAGTTCATGGGAGAGCTCTTATACCGTTTATGACTGCCTTCTTCTATCTTTGAGATGAAAGAGCTCCTCTATCTTCTCATAGGAAATGAAAGAGATCCTGCATATGAAAAGAAAAGACCCTTCGAGAAAAGTTAAAGAATGGTAACGAATCCATGTCATCAATCTTTTCATGCGTAATGAGAGCGCTCCACACTCTTAATGGGACATGAAAGAGCTCCTCCATTTCTTTGAAATCAAAACCTTGCTTTCTCCCTGAGTGACAAAGATCTCTTGGAAATGAGAGATCTCTGCTACCACTTTCGAAAAAATGAGCTCCTATATCTCGGAGTCGGAAAGATAAAGATGTGAAAAGGAGCCCTCCCAAACCTACGAGGCGCCAGAGCACCCGCCCGCAGCTTTTCAAGCAGGAGAAAGGCTCTTTCGTAAGGGGCGGAGGAGCTCTGTCATTCCCTCAACCAGAGGGAGGGGAGCCCTCTCATGACCTATTCAAGAGAGAGGAGATAGAAGAGCTTGCTCATTGATCTTTAGGATGCGGAGGAGCTTTTGCACAAGAGGCAAGGAGCTCTTTTACTTCTACAAACGCATAGAAGAGCGTTTAGATGACCTGTTACGAAATAGAATAAATGCTGTCTCACGTAAGCGAGAGAGACTGATGAGTTATGCGACGCTCCATTTCAGGGATAGGCCTTCGAAACCTTCAATTAGGGTTGATCTCTCGCAAAAAGGTAAAAGAGCTATGTCATTTCCTACGAAGCGATAAGCAGCCTAGAGACAATCGGCTTCTTTCATGTTTGCTTCATGGATAGAGAAGCTTTTCTCAACCAAAACCAAAGAGACGGATCATGTCCCATTGAAAGATAGACGAGTTCTGTCTTTGTACGTTACGAGGTGGGGGAGCTCTTTCACAAGAGGTAGGTAGAGGACTCTCTCATGTCCGGCAAAGAGATAGAGACGATCTTTCATGACCCGCTACGAGATAGAGAGCCTCTTTCATGTAAAGGGTAAGATATAGAAGAGCTGTGAGCTCCTTTACCTATCGACGGGAACTCTTATAGCTTTCATGAATGAGTTCTTGCCAGAGAACAAAGGGAGCTCTTTCACAAAGGGTAGATAGAGACCTCTCTCATTTCTTGTAAAAGAAAGAGGAGGTCTCTCACGACCTGATTATTGCGAGATAGAGAAGCTATGTCATATAAAGATAAGAAATGGTAGAGCTGAGGACTCCTCTGCCTAGTGACGGGAAATCAGTTAGATAGGACATGAGAGAACTTTCATACATTTCTTATGAATGAGTTCTTCAATCTCTGAATAGAAAATGAATGAGCTCCTGTGTCTTCGCATACGAAATGATAGTGTGGAAATGAGCTGTCTCATGACCTGTTAGGAAACAGAGGAGATAAAGAGCTTGCTCATTGCAAAAGAGGAAGCGGAGGGCTCTTGCAGAAGAGGCAAGGAGCTCCTTCACTTGCTGCAAAGATACAGAGGAGCTTTCAGATGACCTATTCAGAGATAGCGAAACTCGATCACGTAAACGATAGAGATTGAAAAGTTATGTCATGCCCCATTTCAGGGATAGAGAATGGCCTTCCAGACTTTCATTTCGAATAAAGGAGAGATCTGTCACAGAAAGGTAGAAGAGCTATTCATTTCTTATTATATCACGGGTAGACAAGCTTTTTCTCAAATACAAACAAAAAACCTGGCTCATGCACCATTGAAAGATAGACGAGTTCTGTCACTCTCGATCACAAGGTGGAGGAGCTCTTTCACACGAGGTAGGTAGAGCACTCTCTCTTTTCTTGCAAAGAGATAGAGAAGATCTGTCATGACTCCATGAACCGTTACGAGATAGAGAAGCCTCTTTCATGAAAAAGATAGGTCATGGTAGAGCTGAGAGCTCCTCTGCCTAGTGATGGCAAACGAGAAATAGGAACCAAAGGAGATAGAAGAGGTTGCTCATTGCAAAATAGGAAGCGGAGGAGCTATTGCAGAAGAGGCAAGCAGCTCCTTCACTTGCTGCGCAGACACAAAGGAGCTTTCAGATGACCTGTTCAGAGATAGCGAAACTCTCTCACGTAAACGATAGAGACTGATGAGTTGTGTCCCCATTCAAGGGATAGAGAATGGCCTTCCAAACTTTCATTTCGGGTAAAGAAGAGATCTGTCGCAAAAAGGTAGAAGAGTTATGTCATTTCTTATGCATCGATAAACGGCTACTCGTATGATTTCTTCATCGATAGAGAAGCAGCTATTTCTGAATAGAAATTCACAATGGAGCTGTCTCATGTCCCAGTGAAAGATAGACGAGTTGTGGCATTTGATTTTGAGGTGAAGGAGCTCTTTCACAAGAGGTAGGTAGAGGACTCTCTAATGTTCTGCAAAGAGATAGAGGCAATCTTTCTTGACCCGCTACGAGATAGAGGAGCCTCTTCCATGTAAAGGGTAGGATGTGGTAGAGCTGTGAGCTCCTCTACCTATCGACGGGAAATTAACAAGAAAGTACATTCGAGAGCTCTTACAGCTTCTATGAATGAGTTCTTGTGATTGAACAAAGGGAGCTCTTTCACAAAAGGTAGATAGAGACCTCTCTCATTTCCTGCAAAAGAAAGAGGAGGTCTCTCATGACCTATTGCGAGATAGAGAAGCTATGTCATATAAAAGATACGAAATGGTAGAGCTGAGCGCTGGTGACGGCAAATGAACTAGGTAGGACATGAGAGAGCTCTTATACATTGTATGAGAGATTTCTTATATCTATATCTCTTGTGAACGAGTTCTTCAATCTCTGACTAGGAGATGAATGAGCTCCTGTATCTTCTCATACGAAATGACAGAATGGGTATAAATGATGTCCTCTAGCTGTTAACGCAACATGAAAAAATCTCCTCTATCCCCTAAAAGAGAAGGAGAGAGGGAAGCCCGCTCATGACCTATTAGGAACCAGAGGAGATAAAAGAGCTTGCTCATTGCAAAATAGGAAGCGGAGGGCTCTTGCAGAAGAGGCAAGGAGCTCCTTCACTTGCTGCAAAGATACAGAGGAGCTTTCAGATGACCTATTCAGAGATAGCGAAACTCTATCACGTAAACGATAGCGAGTGATGCGTTATGTCATGTCCCATTTGATGGACAGAGAATGGCCCAGAGTGGCCTTCAAAACTCTTCATTGATAGAGAAGCTGCGAAGCTATTTCTGAAAATCGACATAGAAGAGAATTCTCTCATTTCCTGCAGCGTGAAAAAGGAGGTCTCTCATGACCTATTGCGAGATAGAGAAATTTCAGGTAAGAGTTAGGTAATGGTAGAGCTGGGCACGCCTCTGCCTCTTGACGAGAAATGAGCTCGTGTATACTTCATGAATGCGTTCTTCTATCTCTCAGATGAAAGAGCTCCTCGATCCTTCTTATAGGGCATGAAAGAAATCCTGTATTCGAACTGAAAAGACCCTTTGATAAGCAAAAGAAAAAGGGAAACGAATCGATGCCTTCTATCTTTTAGTGCAGAGCTTCTCACTTCTAACGACATGATAGAGCTCCTCTATTTTCTTGGAAATGAAACAACTTGCGTTCTCTCCTGAGTGAAAGATGTCTCTGTCGTGGAAATGAGATCTCCTCTATGTTTCTAAGAAATGAGATAGCTCACCTCTATCTCGTAATCGGAAATGAGAGAGTCCTTCGCCCCTCTTCAGGCTATGAAACAACTTGTCTATCTCTTATTTCAAAGTGTGCTAGAGCTACATGGCTGCACTTGCTGGCGCCGGTGCACACACAGACCAAATCTTCACTATTACTGTTACTACTACTAATACTATTACTAGTATTATTACTATTCCTATTCCTATTACTATTACTAGTACTATTATTATTCCTATTACAATTACGGTCAGTATTATTATACTCATAATAATATTGAAATTATTATTATTGCACTACTACTGAAAGAAGAACCAGCCGTGAAATAGACCCTAAAGGTCTCGGCCACATATATATATATATATGATTAGAATCTAAATTAAAACCCATAAAATTATTTCTATAAAATTTCCATTATCGCCCGATCGATATTCTTATTTCGATTCTCCCATAAAGAAAAAAATCTTAGATTCATTTTTTCCGTCTGAATTTAGATATTAAAAAAATTTTCCTTCAAATAACAAACTTAAAAATCTTCGATACGAGCTCTCAGAAATCATTCACGAGCTCATATTTTTTTTTTAACAATAAGCACCGGGAAGAGATACCCATCAATAGATATGAAATTGGGATCCTCAAGAATCTTCTATTCGAGATCCCAACGACATCCAAGAAGATTCAGAAGGAAAATCCTTCCGAAGAATGGATAGCCAAATAACGTATAAAGGATTTCCATATCCAAATAAGGAAAATCATCCTCAATAGGGATATAACTGAAGATCAATTGAATATTGATATTTCTTCTTCATGATTTTGATTCCTTTTTTGGCTTGGTACGTTCCAACAGGAATCCGATCCTGATCAAGGGCGCACGGTGCGGCATCACATGCCCACTGCGTTGCGCGGTCCCGCAGCGTCTGATAGCTCCTGCTTGTGTCACCTTCTGGGACGACCCGAAGTTGTTAACGGTTTAGGGTTTAGGGTTTAGGGTTTAATGTTTAGGGTTTAGGGTTTAGGGGAATCCCCAAAGGTCCTCGTTCTCAAATGCTCAAGGAGAAGGTCACTTCTTGGGCGAGATGTTGCTGAGCCGCCACCAGGTGTTGCTGGATTAGGCCCAGGCCCACGTGAGGGCGCGCACTGTACCATCTCCTTAGGGTGCGGGGCGTGAGGCCGGATCCAATCGTAATCAGGGCCGCGCTGTAAGCCACGTATTCATCCAAAGGCGCTGTCGCGTTGAAAGCGTGAGCAAAGTTTTTGTGCACAAAGAGGGCATCTTTGTGATCGAATCCGATCAGCCAGTAGCCGAAGTCACGCAGTATATCAACTTGGTGGCTTAAAGAGCAGCCATAAAGACCCATCATGTTCCTTGCCCAAAAGTCTCCGTCACTTTCAGGCCCTTGAACCCCAAGAACGCTGAACTTGTAAGGGGGTGGAAAATGTGGGTTCACTTCCAAAATTACCGCCTTTGGCCGCAGATCAAGCTCACTTCTCCTGAGCAAGACTTCTAGCACGGTGCAGTCGATGCTGTCAATGTCAACCTTCCAAACATCCACGCAGTGTGCGCCCCCGCCCTCTCCGTGTGGGGAGCAGACGGACCTAAGGGATTTCAAGAAGAATGGTGCGTGGTCATACAGTCGCCCAGCAGTTAGATGACCACATTGCAAGTCCACCTCAGGCCAGTTCATGCGGTATTTCGTGCAGAATGTCTCGTTGCCTTCCAGGGCGACGCCACGAATCCGGTCACGATGTGCTTTCATGAAATCGAAAAGCGGGCTTTGATGGCCCTCCCCGTCTGCGGGCCCAACGTCCAAGAATGTGTAGCTCATGCTGATGTTGCTGGAAAGGAAAGCCTGGAAGACAGGAGTGTAACTTTCACCGTCGATGCCCGCAATAGTGGTTGTTTTGCTACGCCCGGCGAAGAGCAGGTACGTTTCCGCGATGCGTTGACTCTGCCTCGGGAATTCTAAGAGGGCTTGCGCGGTGCTTCTGAGGGTCTCAGACATGCTTGCGGCACCGAGATCTTGTAGCCGGAACCCTGGCAGCCAAAAACTTCGGTTATCCACGAAATATGCGGCTGGGCTCATGCGGAGAAGTGTGTAGTTGCCCCATCGGTATGGATCTGGACCATATCTCTTCCGAAGCATCTGGCGATGGCGCAGCAGTGGGGCGTCACAGCAGCGGCTGTATGACTTCCGGTAGGGACTCCAGTAGGGACCAAGCAGCGTCTCCGCGGCCCGTGGCCTGGCGCGTCTGTCGCCAACATGTTGCGGGAAGCAGCCGGAAGGAGGTACAAGAACCCAACTCCTTCGAACGTGAAAGTTCCCACAGCACTTGAAGAAATCAGATCGGGACTCGAAGCAGCGCAGGAGGAGACCGGCCCTCTCTGCATCTTGGTCGACCTGTCCGTTCACAAGAACGGCTTGAGATCATGTCAAGACATACGATGGCGACTTCCTGGGGTTTAGGGTTTAGGGTTTAGGGTTTAGGGTTTAGGGTTTAGGGTTTAGGGTTTAGGGTTTAGGCTTTAGTTTAGGGTTTAGGGTTTAGGGTTTAGGGTGCCTACTTTGGATTTCGAGGAGGAAGATAAGGGTCAAAACGTCTATCGACATGCCCAGATGTCCGCAAGGAATTACAGCCGAGCCCAAGCTGCACTGGAGGTCTTCCGGCGGCTGATAGGGTTTAGGGTTTAGGGTTTAGGGTTTAGGGTTTAGGGTTTAGGGTTTAGGGTTTAGGGTTTAGGGTTTAGGGTTTAGGGTTTAGGGTTTAGGGTTTAGGGTTTAGGGTTTACCTGTTAATCCTGGCGGACAGAAATTTCTGTCCTTATGGTTTTTCCTGGTTTTTTTGCGTGCAAAAGCGAGGTGTTGGTGTTCTATTGGGATCGGGGAATACGATCAAAGCGGCTGGATTTTCGGAGTTCAGGGGAACCTTCCCGAGCCCTGTGCAGACTTGTGCACCAAAGAATAGGTGACCTGAGCAGAACACAAAAAAGCGTACTCTGAACCCAACGTTTTTCCAACATAATGTTGGGTTTTGTTGGGTTTTGGGGGGGTAGCCCAAAAAAACGTAAACCGTACCGAATCCGTACTTTGTTGGAAAAATGTTGGGAAAATGTTGGGAAAAAAGCGTACCCAAAACCCAACGCAAACCCAACAAGAGGACACTTTTTCTGAAAAGGCCACTTTTTCTGCAGAATTGTGTGGGTGTCTGGTTTCCACCAGGAAATAGGTTTCTGACCATCATTAAAGCGGACGGATTTTTTGCGCGGCTGGATTTTTCCGGCCTCTTCAAGAGGACAGTTCTTTATGGAACGGGGGATTGACAGGTAGGGTTTAGGGTTTAGGGTTTAGGGTTTAGGGTTTAGGGTTTTAGGGTTTAGGGTTTAGGGTTTCGAGTTTAGGGTTTAGGGTTTAAGTGGGCATGCAGCAATGTGTATCTTCAGGATTTGCCCCGCAACGAGTCGGACGCAAGAAAGTGTTTAAAACGGGTCCTCTAATACTGTCCAAAGATATTGCAATCCTGGCTTTAGAGGAGCCCCTCCAAAAAGGATACCCCTACTTTGGAAAACCCCAAACCCTCCTGTGCAGGGATGCCGTACCTGGAAGTCTCCAAAAGCTCGCACTTCCAGGAATGGGGCAATGGCCGCAATTGAGATCGCCGGCGTTGCCAGAAGCGGGCTCATCGGGCTCTGAAGGCCAACCCTAAACCCTAAACCCTAAACCCTAAACCCTAAACCCTAAACCCTAAACTCTAAACCTAAACCCTAAACCCTAGTCCGGCTTAACCCTAAACCAGGGCATAGTCGGAGTGGGTTTCGGGTCTCGGAATCTCAAGCCCTGCATTTGTGAGCTTCTTGCCGCTTGTTCCTCCATGGTGAGTTGCTGTCACCCTTCCTGTTGATGTGTTCATTCTTGCGCCGTTCTTGCCTGCCTTGTGATGCTGTTCATGCTCTCTATCCTCCACAGTCCTGAGCAAGGGCTGCCGCTACACAGCTTGAGTGACACTTTGGGGTCTTATCTTTCCCTGGACCCCAAGCTCCCAAACCCTAAACCGCCAGGCTTTCCAAGCATCCGACCGGATGTCGCTATGTCTCGCCTATATCTGCTACCTTGAAGCCCCACTGAAATCGCCCTTGAATCCCTTAGCCGTAGCCATGGGGCCATACATCTGATCATCTGCTGCTTCTAGGTTGGATGTTGGTGTGCAACTTGCATGAAGTGAAGGCAACGATATCGCGGTGTGTGCTTTTGTCAAGCAGGCTGAGCACGGGGCACTCCTATCCGACGGCCGGTGACGGCCTGCGAAGAGTACTGCCGAGGAACCCGGTTTGGTTCCAGGAGCGGCGCCATCTCCTCAGGACCGGCGCGGCTGCCGCGCTTCGTTGCAAGCAGCTTCTGCACGGCGGTTCTCAACGGCGCGCAACCTGGGGGCACGAAATGCTCGGACACTTTCCATGATCTTCCACCGAAGAAATTCCTATCATGATCGCTCAAGTTCTGTTTCTGAGCTCCGCGCCCACTGACACGAGCTGCCCCACCAATGCTCCAAACAGCATGAAGACCAGAGCCTTCAGCCAGGGATGTCCACCTGCCTCCACCCTGCCGTGCTCGAGCAACAGCGGCCTGGATTTCGATGGGAACCATCCGGCTCGACCTTGGGCCGACTCATCGTAGATGTAGCGTATCAGCGGCCAGCCACCTGCATTTCCCGGTGCCCCCCCGGCACTTGCCCCGATGCTTGCCACGCGCACGAACTCCACCGTGTTGTTCCAGGCCCTTTGGCCTGGCCATAGCGGCTGGCCAGAGCCACAGCCATCGGAATACATAGGAAAGTCATGCCACATACCGTGGAAGATGTCCACCACAACCCGCGCGCCGTTCGCCGCTGCTTTCTCAGCAAGGATGGTCGTGTCCCCCAAGATCGTCTCAGAAGACCCGACTGCGAAGTACAGTGCCGGGGTAGTGCCCATGCCCAGCCACTCCGAATCCGCGAAGAAGGGAGAGGCTATGGGATCCTTTAGCATCTGCAGTGAGCCTACATATTCCAGGGCATTCTGCCGAAAGCTCGCCATGTTCTCCAAGGGCCGCTGGTTGAAAACGATATCTCCAACGTGGTCGGAGATATCAGTTGGCGGCGGTCCATGCATATAGGCGTTCGTGATGTACTCCGGGGTGTTGCACATGAGGTTGGTCCAGGGACTCCAGAAAATGCCCCCTGCGAAGGACGCGTGCGCCGGAAGTATGTCAGGATCCTGCTTCCATCTTAAAACGATGCTCAGCGCTGTCGTGCCACCGCTCGAATCACCGCCAATAAACATGTTTACGGGCGTAGACGGCCGGCAGCTTTCCCACACTTGGTAGGTGCTAAGGAACTGCAGCGATTTCACGGAAGCTGTCAGAATGGAGACATACTTTCCAACGGGAAGCAAAGGAAAGTCTGGAAGCATGACAACGCATCGGGTTCTGTGTGCCAGCTTCGCTGCAAGCGCCCGATATTCATCAGTGACTGGAGATCCATAGTACCAGCTGCCACCGTGCAAGAACAAGATTCGGCATGAATCGCAGGTTGCATCTTCAGGCACTGAGATTAAGTCGTCTCCCCGCCTACCCTCAGTAGACACGCAGCCGTCCTTGGGCACACACGGCCAAGCTGTACCTGGCCTTGCAATCTTCCGTTGCAACACGTCATGATCGCCATGCTGATCCAAGCAGCAACTACTGTTGGCCAGCAGCTGCTGACGGCAGGAGTCCTCGGCAGAGTGTTGACCGCCCAAAGTACCCAAATCTGCAGCCGCCCAGCATAGGCATAGTAGACCCAACGTGCTTCGCATCAGCCCAAGCAAGGCTCTGCTTCCATGTGAGAACAAGAAGCTGCGCCCAAGCAATGTACACGAAGCACACCGAAACAGCTTGCTTGAAGAATTCTAGACCAGGTTTCCTAACTGTTGCTCAAGGTTCACGTGCCCAAATCCAAAGTGTCACAAGATGACATGACGGCTTGAAACTCGAATGCTTCTGGCTTCCCATCTACACCGCTCCCATAGCGCCTGCGGCAGCAAGCGGGGCTTTGTTTCAGGAATGTGCCCGGCTCTCAATCACAAGCACAACAACCTTCTTGCACACATGCCAGCAAGTGCATCTGTTACCAACGACGAGATTTTGCACTAAACCCTAAACCCTAAACCCTATTCCCTACAACCTACACCCTAAACCCTAAACCCTAATCCCTGCCTAAACAATACTCCCTAAACCCAAAACCCTAAACCCTAAATCCTAAACCCTATTGGGTGCAGGTGTATGAAAAGGTCGTAGCAAAGGGTGCCTGCCCATGGTTCCCTCCCCAAGCTATAGCAGCTGGATCTGCCACTTCTGTATGTCGGCTCCCAGAAACTACGATACCCCTGGCTTAGGGTTTAGGGTTTAGGGTTTAGGGTTTAAGGTTTAGGGTTTAGGGTTTAGGGCTTCATTAAGCAGTACTTCCCGGAATCATGACAGGGACCTTAGTCTCATCTAGTCTTGGGGATATTCCTGAAGTAGGGTCTTTGGAAGTTCTAGCTTGCTTCAATTCCGTCCGTTTTTTGATATATAATGTTTATATCAACCCTTTTAAGCGCCGTTTTAAGGGGCTTTCGGGTAATATAGGCGCCTTCATAATTAGAACAGGGTTTTGGGGAGTTATTCTGGTAGAATTATAAAGGAAGCATAAGGAAATACCATTTGTAATTATTCCGACCCGTTTTGTGTAATAGGCCCATCCTGAAGCCCGGCACATCTTCACCCGACCAGTCTTGGAGCTGCTACTGGAAGACTTGGGCCTCCATGTGAGGAAGGAAAACAAGGTTCAGGGATCAGGGTTTAGGGTCAGGGTATCATGGATCCCAAGTGATTGACGATAATTGGGGGGGGGGGGGGGGGGTACCTTGTTGGGGTCCTTGCTATAAGGGAATCCTGCTAGAGGGGGCCTATTTTGCGGGTCGCCTCTTTTCGCAAACCCCCCCAATGAAGCGAAGCCATGTGACGAACAGATATAGAGTCTGGGCAGCAAACTACAATCCTGAAGAAATTTCATAGCTACTGTGTATATATATATATACTAAATAAATAGATATATATATATAATAAATAAATAAGGAAAAATATATATATATATATATATATAGAGAGAGATTCTGCTAGTGGCTCCCTCGATAGAGACATTTTTTACCCAAGCACTAAGAAGTGAGTGGGTGCGGCTTGCTTGGCCACTATGTCCACTCTTGGCAATGTCCCCCGCTCCCAGCCACGGCCTGCATTCAAACCCGAGATGCTGGTACAACAGGGCTCGCCGCGCCGTCCTCCAGCACGGTGATCCCTTGCAGTACTGGACTTGCCTATCTATTCAGAATGGGCATCTTGGGGTACGGTAGTTCGCATACATAGGGTTCTCATAAAGAGGATATGAAAGCTGGAAATTACCCTGAGTTGCAGCAGAATACCCCAGCATCCTCCTAGCTGCAGGATCTTTTGTGCGTGTGGGACTGACTTCTGCAGTCCAGGAGCCACAAACCTCACACGATGATGGCTTGAGAGCAGCTGTCATACACCGCCTGGTCCGCAAACCGAATCTTACTGGTGTCGAGAAGGCCCCTGGTGGCGCTGGTAACATTGGCGACGAGATCTTGAAGCTCCTTCTTGGTCCAAGCCGTCGTCCTCGATAGGATGTTTAGGGTCTTAGGGCCTTAGGGTATAAGGGAATTCGGGTTTAGGGTTTAGGGTTTAGGGGTCCAAGCCGTCGTCCTCGATAGGATGTTGAAGGAGAACTTTGGCTGACCAAGCGGAGGGAGAGGCAGCATGCGGCCCAGGCAGGCATACGTGATGGCTAGCTGCATCCTCCCTTGCTCGTCGTACCTCGCCTCGAAAATCCTCGGATGACTCAAATGGCCATCACAACGTCTGAAAACGGTTCCTACATATGATCCTCTTAAAATCGATAAGAGAAAAAACAAAATATCCCCAGGACCCACCCAGGATCATGTTGGGGTCAAGGCTGGGCATCGTGTGGTTGAAGAGGCCGAAGTTCCTGAGATCTCGAGTGCGCAGGGAAACAGACCTACACAAATTCCCTCTATTGCCACTGCCACTGTGGTTGCTTTTGTTGCTTTAGGTATCTTGTGCTTGTGGCGGACGCAAAGCATCTTAACAGGCAATAGCCATCGTTCACGACCATTTTCTCCATCCTGCGCAAGTTCCATGCTGCTTTCGTGCGTTATCCTGTCTCACTCTATTGTTTGCAAGATCAAGATGGCATGCGCAGGCCTAAACCCTAAACCCTAAACCCTCAACCCTAAACCCTAAACCTTAAACCCTAAACCCGGCATGCTCTTTTGCGCCACAACAGGATTTGGGTCTTCGGGTGTTTTTAGCACAGGGACAGCATGGCATTTGGAACAGAAGGAAGTCAAGAACTGAGGGGATCAGACGACCAATGCTTAGGGCTTAGGGTTTAGGGTTTAGGGTTTTCAAGAGAATGCACCGCACAGTAAGGAGTGGTAACACAGCAAGCTTGAAGAAGGCATAATTCGCTACCCCTGTTGAATGCCGGATAGAGACCTCCAAAGCAACCTGCATTCAAGAACCCTAAGCCGAAACCCTTAGCCCTTGACGCGCTGAAACCCTTAATGGCCCTCAAGATCTCAACACCTACAAGCCAACTGTTTTTTCTCACCCTAAGTCCTTCCAATTTCAACCCCTCAGCCCTGAAACCCAGGTAAACGCATAAATCTCAGAAACCCCCGGAGTCGTACACCCAACCCTACGTCCTAAACCCTAAAACCCCAAACCCTGAAGCCCTCACACCCTTAAACTCCCTAAACCCTTCAAGCCCAAAACCCCGGAACCCTCGAACCCCCCAAACCCTAAACCCTTAAACCCCAAACCCCTGAACCCTTTCTCCAAACCCTAACCCTAACCCAAAACCATGGCATTTCCAAGCTTCTCATGTAGTAGCCCAGGACTCCTGGGATCTTCCGACAGCTTTCCTTGCTTGTCCGAGCAAGCTAAGAATACCTTAGGGGTTTTAGGGCTTTAGGGTTTGGGGCTTTGAGGTCTAGGGTCTAGGGTTGAGGGCTTTAGGGTTCTAGGGTTCTAGGGCTCTAGGGCTTTAGGGCTTTAGGGCCTTAGGCCTTTAGGGCTTTAGGGCTTAGGGTTTAGGGCTTTAGAGTTTAGGGGTTCGGGTTTCTGGGCTTTTACGGGTTCAGGGCTTTGGGATTTAGAGTACAGGGTTTGGGGGTGTATGGTGGTCAGGAACGCGGCCACGACTTCGTCCTACGTCTCCTTGCCGGTCCATGTTAAGGTGTGCTCTAAACCCTACTAAACTTTAAACCCTTCATACATGTAAGGCTTTGGGCTTTATGCCTCAGGGTTTGAGGGCTTAGGGTTGTGGAGTTGAGTTTCCTGAACTCTGGGCAACTTAAGCTGACCTCCGGATGTACAGTATGTTAAGGTTTAAGGTTTAGGGTATAGGGTTTAGGGTTTAGGGTTTAGGGTTTAGGATTTAGGGGGCCTCCCAAAGACAGCGTACTGGAGTGGGAGACGAGGTCTCCCTTCAAAGGCACAGATATCGGGAACTTTCCTTCGCACACCGTGTGGGCGGTGTAGGCATACCTCCGGCGGAGCTGAAAAGAAGGATCAGGGAACATGAAAATTCTGTATACCCTATGCTTCCAGTCACTCAAATAGTGGGTCCTCAGGGGCCCTAGCAGCCTACTAGTAAGTCTTTGGAGGTTTCGAGAAAGGTTGACAAATACAAAAGTAAAAACACAACAGTCTTCAAAACAGCTCATTGGCACCACCCCTCGGGCAGGTGAACGCTCACCTCGTTGCGTGTGCAAGTGCAGAAAGCAGGCAATGTGGGCTCGGTAGTGGCAACCATATACCACGTGCCAGCGAAGTCGCTGATATTGAAGACCGTGGGGTCCACGGAGGGTTGTCTGATGTCGCCGTAATCTGGGCACGATTCCTGTCTTTGGGTCGTTACCAGGTCCTGTCTACAATGGGGAGAGCCCTTATACACCTCTTCCATACCTGCCGAAGACCAAGGGTCCGAACTTCAGAACCCTTGGAAAAGGCAAGGGACCATACTAAGGCTCGTGTAACTGCCCTTAGGTCGTATGTAAGGGTACAGAATCTTACGGGGACCACGGCCCACAGAACCTCAACATGTACTCCAACTCAACCCAGATTCGCTGGCTTTGACCGCCTCAAAGATGCAGAGGGTACAGAGAAGCCTCAGCCTAGGACTTGTGTTGAATCGCATGGCTCAAGCCGAGGGTGTCCACGTCTGCTTCAAGGGTTCAAAGTCTCGAGCAACTGGCTGCATGAGGCGGTCGTGGTCTTGCAGCAGCCTGGCAATGTGTAGTGCAATCATTTTACGTACAACCTGAACCTCAAGCACATAGCCTTGCATGTGCAAACCGGTTGCGACTCCTACCAATACTTCTGCTACTAATACTACAACCCTGCAGCCTAGTGCGTGAGACCATGTATAGCTAATCCTACCAAGGAAAAGATGCAATATACCACACTAGTTTGCAGTATACGGCATTCTGCTGTAGTATAAACCTGCCGACGACGAGGGACCCAAATCTTTGGGGCTTAGGGATTTGCCTGGACTGCAACATCTTAAGGATGTAGGGGGGAGTTGGGCTTTAGGGGGTTTAGGTTTACGTACAGTGCGCTACTTCCGGCTGCATTGCCGGATTTGGCTTGCCTTTAGGTGGAAGGCTTCCGAAGGAGTGCATACTGTAGGCTACGACTCTGTACACCTGTCTAGAACACCTACACCCTTAGCCCTCAACCACGAACCCTAGAATCAAAACCTGACTGAAAACCCTAAAACCCTAAACCCTAAAACCCTAAAACCCTAAAACCCCAAAACCCCAAAACCCCAAAACCCCAAAACCCCAAAACCCCAAAACCCCAAAACCCCAAAAATCCAAAAACCCAAAAACCCAAAAACCCAAAAACCCAAAAACCCCAAAACCAAAAAACCCAAAATTCCTAAAACCCTAAAACCCCAAAACCCTAGAACCCGAAACCCCCTCGAACCCCTGCTTCAGCAGACTCGCGCTTGAGTTTCACTGCCGCTGCGCTGGGGCCGGACAGGACCCCTCTTAGCTTCAGGAGCAAGCTCGAGGTGTTGCTCAGCTCTTGCCTCAGACTTGGGGGGTTAGGGTGATAGTAGTTGGGATTTAGGGTCCTTAATAGGGATGATCATAGGGGGTACTAGAATCCCTATGAAGGACTGTTATAGTATAGGGGGGAACATCCCAAGTTTAGCACTGGCTTGGTTCGATTCGGAGGGCCTAAACCCTAAACCTTACACCCTAAACCCTAAACCCTGAAGACTCCTGGGGTTAACGGTTTGAAGCTGCTCGCGCTGGCGGACTCCTCCCTTTGAGAGCCAGCCTCAACTACCGCTTCTGAACCGGTTCTGATTAAGTTCATTCAGTCGCCGAGGAACTCATAACCCTATTTAGGTTACTACTACTTAGGGTCTGCGTAACATAGCCAAAAAAAGCGTTAACCCTTTTTGCCTTTTGTAGTAGGGTTATATAAGGTATATGTAACCCAAAAGGTTAAAGGATAGGTCCACCCTAAACCCTAAACACTAAATGACTACCCGGTGCCCTGTTCATGTTTTGGTGTTGAATGAACGTGAAAGGGAGCCGAGCCTCAGCTCTCTCGCAAAAAGGGGAAGAAGCACTCCACTGAGGGTCTGACTGATCCCAAAGCCTTGAAACTTGATTACATGTGCTACTGCTGAATTCAACCTTGAACCCTGTCTCAACCCTGAAACTCAATTAACCACAACTGTCACAATTCTCATGACAATCATGAATCACCTCAAGAAAAAGCCGTAGCCCTAAACCCTAAACCCTAAACCCTAAACCCTAAACCCTAAACCCTAAACCCTAAACCCTAAACCCTAAACCCTAAACCCTAAACCCTAAAACCTAAACCCAAAGGTTCATGCAGATGCCATGGCGCGTCACGCTCTTCACGGCGCGGCTGTACGTCTGATCCTAAGCTCGGGTGGGTCCAGGCGCTTCAGGGATTCCATCTCCATGGGCCGAGGGTGGGTTCAGGGTTTAGGGTTTAGGGTTTAGGGTTTAGGGTTTAGGGTTTGATACCAAAGACGCACTGGCGCCTGCGGCCTTGCGCTCAAGGAGCATTCCATGTGTCAGTCTTGCGGGTCCAAAAGCCCCTTGCCTCTTAAAGTCATCTGGCTCTCTCAGGTCGAAGTCCCTGCGAGATAACATAGGAGCCTTAATAATTACACAAGGGAAATGCTATGAGGAATTTATTACGACCCCTATAGTAGAGTCGGGACACCCGGACTGCAATCTCTGACACCTCGGAACCCTTCACAGGGAATTCTGAATCCGAAGCCTTGAGGGCTCCGTTTTTGTCCGGGACTCTGCGCGCATCGTGGCGGCCAGTGCTGCCACATTGTGGGCTTGCCTTCTGGCCTTCAGGGCTTCGGCCGTTTTTCGGACCTAGCCTCGCCCTTGACCTTTGCTCCGCTTAGAACCTCAAAAAACAACTGTATTGAATATTCCCTGGGCTTTTATATACATAGAGATTAAACCCCAAGGGGGGGCTATAGTTAGCTACACACCTCACCCAGCCAAGAGGCTATGAACCCGAAACCCTCAACGTCACCGAAGTTTGGGGGGACTCGAGGTGCGAGTCACAAGAAGTCCCGAACCCCTGGATGGTTCGTGACGCAACACGTGTGGCTCTCCAATTTTTGCGGAGGGCTTCGGGAGTTTGGGGGCCCCAAAAAAGCAGACTCGCTGTGGGAGAAAATGTTCAAGCCTCCTTTCCTACTCCTTGCTACCAGCCAGACGTTGCGTATCTCTCCCCCTTCCAGAGAATCCCCTAAACCTTCCATCCCTGCACCAGGAAGGCTTGCATCTATCACCCCCAAGTGTACTCCCTTCTCCTTCCAAATATATCTGCTGCCCTCCCCCAACGAAGGAGCTACACTTGCGAGTTCGAGGTCGATCCCCTCCCCCCTCCCCCTCCCCAAAGCCCGAACCTTGCGGGCTCGGGCGAGCCGCAGCTTTTGGCAGACTTGCCGAAATGAGAGCCTTGCCAGATAGGCTGAGAGTTGGCTTGAATTTGCTACGCCCTAAGCCCAAAACCCAGAACCCCAAACCCTAAGTAAGCCCTAAGCCCTAAACGCTACACCGGAACGCAATACACGTGTGGTGCCGGAGCGGATGGCGGCGGTGGCCAGCCTAGGTCTTCAAAACCCTGTGACGCTGCCCTAGACCCAGGATTGCTTCAACACAACCTTCAGCACATCTGCACGGGCTTTGAGGGGTTGAGCGCAGAACAAAGCCAAAGACGCACCCCTCCCCCCCCTCCCCACCCCCCCGAGCGGGTGCTGAGGTAGGGACCAGCTGTAACATGACCCTGATACATGATAATTACTGGCTTCAGCGACAAGGCGTCGCGGCTACACGTTTAAATCATGCAAACGAAACTTTCCCTAACTCTGAAATCCAGGCTTTACGCCAGGCTGCCTTCCCTTGCGCGGGAACTTCTGCTTCTCACCTCAAGCTGAGAAGAAGTGGAAGAAGAAGGGAATACACGGGCCATGTTCGGAGTATAACAAGGGAACCTTTAGGGGTATACCCTTGGGGGTACGAGTCTTCATCCCTTGAGAAGAAGACGAAGGGTCAGCACACGCCCTCATGAAGATTTCCGGGCATCGGTCCACAAGTGAGGCTAGGAAGATCTAAGTACTTAATCGTGGCAACCTGCCTAAATCCTAACACCCTAAAATTCTGAACAACAAGCCGAGCAGCAGACCACCAACCCTGAACCCTAAACCCTAACCCCCCCCCCCCCCCCACCTTTGCTTCTCAGGGATGATCCAGGGGCTCTGCCCCGTCCTTGCGCCTGGCAAAGCTTTGGGGCTTCAGGGCTCGAGGCTTTGTAGCTGCCGACTCCCACTGCTGCAGAATTGCAGAGGGCTTTCTCGGATTATGTGGGGTGCGAAAAACGGAAAACGCATTTATCAGGGCATGGACCCAATAAGTCTAAGTCGCACGGGGTTTATTGCTTGCCCGCCGTTTGGTTTATTGCTTGCCCGTCGCTTCTTAAGCTCTCTGACTCATGAGTCTTCAATGCTGGGGTGGGAAGTGGGACTTACTAGCTTCACTTTTTTTTCTAGATCCATAACGTTCCCTAAGCTTCGTGCCGCCGCGGAAAGCAAACAGTACCTGCGCAGGAACCTCAACCCTAAACCACCCAAAACCCTAAAGCCTAAACGCCTGCAAGCACTTCGCACGTCCCATGATGTGCCCCCCCCTCCCCCCCAACGAACCAAAAGCCCCTCTAGGACCCTCCAAGAAAAGTAAAGCAGACCCAAGAGGCCCAAGAGAAACCCACCAGTGAGAATGACATGGGCGCCCTTTTTGGGTTAAACAAGGGGTGTCTATGGGGAACCTCACCCAAAAAAGGGAATCGGGGCCTACTCTGGGGCCTCAGTAAAGCCCTATACAAAAGCCTATAACTGCTCCACCCCAAGATGCTTCAAGGGCTTCTGCTCGCCTGCTCCCTGGTCGGCATGTGGGTCTGAGGCCATTCACAACTCCTACGTGGCCCTTTCTTGGAGTCTACACTCTAACCCTAAACCCTTTTGTGCCCCCAAAAGTTTAGGGGTTAGGGTTCAGGATCCAGCTGAAGTAGAGCAGGATCCCAACAGGGACCCAACTTGAGCATTCAGGGAATTTTAGCGGCTTTTCGTGAGGGCTTAGGGTCTAGGGTCTAGGGTCTAGGGTTTAGGGTTTAGGGTTTAGGGTTTAGGGTTTAGGGTTTAGGGTCCAAGTTTGGTGTTCGGAGGTTTGGGGGGCACCGGTCAGAAGTCTGCAGGAGCGAGGTACACTTTCTGTTGTTTATGCCTAGAAGTTGTACACACTGCAGCTTGAGCCCGGAAAGAGGAAAGGCTGTCTGCCCGCTGGGTGAAGTTCGAAAAGTTCAGAGTTTGGAGGGTGCGAAGATTCAGAGAGGATCACATATTCGTGTTTTGGAGCACAGAAGGGAAGATGGCAATACACGGGTGTTAGGTTCCTGGCTTGCTTTCGATGGCATGCTGAGGCCGGGCGAGGTCGACCAACTTCGGGTGCGTGACTTGTGTTTCCCTGAAGCCTCACCCTAAAACCCTAAACCCTAAACCCCAAACCCCAAGCCCTAAGCCCTAAGCCCTAAGCCCTAAGCCCTAAACCCTAAACCCTAAACCCTAAACCCTAAACCCTAAGCCCTAAGCCCTAAGCCCTAAGCCCTAAACCCTAAACCCTAAACCCTAAACCCTAAACCCTAAACCCTAAACCCTAAACCCTAAACCCTAAACCACTCTTTCATATATAATATAAATGTTAATGACTTTGCGGGCAAGGTCCTATATTTAGCGGGCAAGGTCCTATATTTAGCGGGCAAGGTCATATATTTAGCGGGCAAGGTCATATATTTAGCGGGCAAGGTCATATATTTAGTGGGCAAGGTCCATTGGCTAAAAAAAGACCTTGCCCACTAAATATATGACCTTGCCCGCTAAAGGGCGACCTTGCCCACTAAATATAGGACCTTGCCCGCTAAATATAGGACCTTGCCCGCTAAATATAGGACCTTGCCCGCTAAATATATGACCTTGCCCGCTAAATATATGGCCCGGGCCAGGTCATATATTTAGCGGGCAAGGTCATATATTTAGCGGGCAAGGTCATATATTTAGCGGGCAAGGTCCTATATTTAGCGGGCAAGGTCCTATATTTAGCGGGCAAGGTCCTATATTTAGCGGGCAAGGTCCTATATTTAGCGGGCAAGGTCATATATTTAGCGGGCAAGGTCATATATTTAGCGGGCAAGGTCATATATTTAGCGGGCAAGGTCATATATTTAGTGGGCAAGGCATTTAGTGGGCAAGGTCCCCCCCCTCCCCCCCCCCCCCCCCCCACCCCCCCCCCCCCCCCCCCCCCCCACCCCCCCCCCCCCCCACCCCCTCCCCCCCACCCCCCACCCCCCCCCCCCCACCCCCCCCCCACCCCCCAACCGACCGCCCCCCCCCCCCAACACCAACCTCCCCGCCCCGGAGCCCCCCCCCCCCCCCCGCCCCCCCCCCCCTCCCCCCCCCCCCCCCGCCCCCCCCCCCCTGGATCCCCGCAAAAAAGTCGATTCAAGCCCACTAAATATATGACCTTGCCCGCTAAAGGGCGACCTTGCCCACTAAATATAGGACCTTGCCCGCTAAATATAGGACCTTGCCCGCTAAATATAGGACCTTGCCCGCTAAATATATGACCTTGCCCGCTAAATATATGGCCCGGGCCAGGTCCTTTATTTAGCGGGCAAGGTCATATATTTAGCGGGCAAGGTCCTATATTTAGCGGGCAAGGTCCTATATTTAGCGGGCAAGGTCCTATATTTAGCGGGCAAGGTCCTATATTTAGCGGGCAAGGTCATATATTTAGCGGGCAAGGTCATATATTTAGCGGGCAAGGTCCCCCCCCCCCCCCCACCCCCCCCCACCCCCCCCCCCCACCCCCCCCCCCCCCCACCCCCGTCCCCCCCCCCCCCACCCCCCCCCCACCCTCCACCCCCCCCACCCCCCCCCCCCCCCCCCCAACCGCCCCCCCCCCCACACACCTCCCTCCCCGGAGCCCCCCCCCCCCAGCCCCCCCCCCCCTCCCCCCCCCCCCCGCCCCCCCCCCCCCCCTGGAGCCCCGCAAAAAAGTCGATTCAAGATGGCTTCCAAAGAATAAGTTCCCGAATGACCGCGCCTGTTTTTGAGGCCCCTGAAGCCCCTCAAACGACTCAAGAACTCAAGATGGCTTCCAAAGAATAAGTTCCCGAATGGAAACATGTGGTTAACAAATCCATTCTGTTGACCACGTTGGTTTTCTTGTCCGCTCGAAACAGAAACATGTGGTTGACAAATCCATTCTGTTGACCACGTTTGGTTTTCTTGTCCGCTTGAAACAAACACATGTGGTTAACAAATCCATTCTGTTGACCACGTGCCTAGAGAAGAAGGAGGTTGGATATTTTTCCTAATGGTGTGGGACCCAATGGGCGGGTGGGTATTCCCCTGTGGCCTTGAAAGCTGCTCAACTAGTGAATGCTTGGACCAGAGATGCTGAACCCTAAACCCTAAACCCTAAACCCCAGCTCTGGGGAGTGCTTGGGAGGGGAGCGACCAGGAAGGAGGTTGGGCTATATGTGAGGGGGGTTTAGGGTGTAGGGTTTAGGGTTTAGGGTTTAGCGTTTAGGGTTTAGGGTTTAGGGGTTCACTTACACTCAGAAGGCGCCAGAACATGAGCCTTAAAACATATGATGACTGCTGCCAAGGACGGGTCCTGTTTCGATCCCGATTATACTGCCTTACTCAAGATTTACGTGGTACCCAAAAATCGGGGCCGTACATCTTTAAAAAGGTTTCAGGTACCCCAAAAAGGGACGACCATGTTGAGAACTGGCCATATCTTGCTGGCTCTTAACTTTAATGGAAAGCGAGTAGTGGGGTGAGGGGATGATTCGAAGCAAGGTGTGGAGTGGCGGCCCCCCGCGAAATCCTAAGAAGCCAATAGAGGGGTCAAAACCCAATTCTAGTTCTCATAGTAAGGGTACCCTTTTTGGGTTGGTGACTTGATAGGGGAACCTAGAACCCACCAAAAAAGGGCAAAGGGGTACCACCGGGCCACCACGTTTAGGGAGGAAATGAAGCACGAAATGGCACCTTGTCCATCGCCATGGGCTTCCAGCGATTCCGGTGTTTCATGCTGGCGGTCTTCGCCAGCTTGGAGTGAGACTGCCGTGGGGTATCTGGAGGATGCCGACTTCGTTGGCACTTGAACCCCAAAACCTAAACAACAAACATTGTCCTGGCAGAGCGACCAGCGAAGTTGGCCCGGAAACACCCCGAAGGGAAACGCCACCGCAAGAGACCCGTCTGGGTGAGCGGCAGCAAGGCAAAACTCCTACACGCTGCCTCGATTCGTTCCCACACTCAGCTGCAACACATGGAGCAAATCTGGCTTTGGGGCTTCATCGAAGTAATCCTGAACTCTGAACCATTCGAAAACCTTTTAAAGTCCAAAGGCTGGGAATTTGGTGGGTGCAGGGTTTTAGCGTTTTACGAAAGTTTGAGGGTTTAGAAGGGTAAATCAGGGTTTCGGGCTTAGGGCTTTAAGATTTTGTGGTGAAGGGGGGGGGCATCTTGCAACGGTCAGCACTTTAGGAATGCGAAGAAGATACAAAGGATGCCATGGGGTAGGACCCGGGAACCATCACAGCAATATTTTTAATATGCCCTATTCTACACCCACCCAACACGTAAGATACCCGGTGAGCTCAAAATGAGGAAGCTTTTGCAGGACAGGCGGGTGCGGTAGGGTGTAGGGTTTCGCAATAATCAGAACCTTACTAAGGATAACAGAGCCACATGAAAATCCGAAATGGAATAAACATATTAAGGACAAGGAACAGAATAAGAAAAGCCATGAGGAGAAGAAAAAACGCTGCCTGTGATGGCCTAGCAGCGTAGAGAATCAGACGAAATTGCCGAGGAAGCACGAAGAAGAGATACATCCCAGTATTTTTACTACCCGTTTAGGGCTTCGGGTTGAAATTAAGGGGCATATTCCTCAGTTCCAACTGCTCTGCAGAATGCGGGGTAGAGGTAGCCACCGGCAACTTTGGCCAATGCCGACGCTGGAAGAAGGAAAGCCGACCTTTCTATTTTTGTGACCACGCGAGTGTCTCGGACTCCAGCCGAAGCAGTTGAAGGTCCGGAATGACCCCCAAAATCTCAAGCCCAAATCAGCGCGTGTATGCTGCGAACCACTATAAACTGACGATAAACCCCATGAAGCCTGAACAACAAGTCAGCACGCGTAACGTGTATACTCCTGACCTCTGAACCCTGAAATCCTAGTTGGGCCTGGTCGATCACCCCTCGGCTCGTTCATGCCCTAGAGCCCGTGCCGTATCACTCCACGCTCTGGGGCGGTCCTGCAAAATCTGACGCCAATGGGTTCGTTACCCCCTAAACCCTAAACCCTAAACCCTAAACCCTAAACCCTAACCCCTAAACCCTAAACCCTAAACCCTAAACCCTAAACCCTTACGAGTTGCTGGGTTTTCGGGAAAATTTAAGGCTTCGGAGTTGTGCTTCCCGGGGCCTAGACCGGGCTTCGTGATGGGCCACCAAACAAATGCCCTGACACGCCAGTCAAGCCTCCCAACAAGAATGAGACCCCTTTCCCAAAGGGTCCATGTACCTAGATCTACCTGGACGTTCTATAGTAGCTTCAGGGCCCAAGTCTATATACCATATGGGTAATTACAGCCCTAAACCCTAAACCCTAAACCCCAAACCCGAAACCCCAAACCCTAAACCCCACACCCTAAACCCTATAAAACTATATATATATAAATATAAATAAACAAATAAATAAATAAATAAATATATATATATATATATATGTGACCGTTAGGGCTTAAAGCTTCGTTGAAGGGCCTGGGCAGGTCCATGTGAAATTGCTGCTTGGCCATGGTGCCGGCTGGGCCCCGATCCGTTTGCGTCATGCACCTGGGGTTTAGGGTTTAGGGTTTAGGGCTAGGGTTTAGGGTTCAGGGTTCAGGGTTCAGGGTTTAGGGTTTAGGGTTTAGGGTTTAGGGTTTAGGGTTCAGGGTCTGGGGGACCCCAGCAAGCTAGATCCCTAAGTACCCCAAAGCCCTACAATCCTGAACCCTAAGCCCCTAAAGCCCTCCAACCCTATACCCTAATCCCGAAGAACCCTAAGCCCCTAAAACCCTCCAACCCTAAAACCCGATAACTTTCTTGACTCAGTGAGAGCATCAGACCCTGAACCATAAATTCACCAAATACCAGCACCCTAAACCCTAAACCCTAAACCCTAAACCCTAAACCCTAAACCCTAAACCCTAAACCCTAAACCCTAAACCCTAAACCCTAAACCCTAAACCCTAAACCCTAAATTCAATCCATCTGAGACTAATCGGACACAGGTTTTAATGGCGGCGCGAAGCTTTGAGCCGAGGGACCAAAGACCTCCTCTAGATATAAAGAGCCCCCAAACCCCCCCCTCCCCCCAAGCCCCTACATTCTCATCCGAAACCGTGAACCCTAACTCACAAAAAAGCCCCAAAACCTCAAGCTCTATATATCCCTTAAATGCCACATCCCTTACACGCCCTAGACATCCGTTAAACCCCCCAAATCCCTTGAAAACCCCACTAAACCCCAAATCCTAAACCCTAAACTCCCCCACACGCCCAGCTTCCTGGTCTTTCTGGGGCTCCCGGCACAGTCATCTTCGAGCGCTTCTCCCGAGTGGCTTTGCCGAAAGTGCAGTTTGCCGAGGTTTTCGAGGTGGAGTTGACCTTCCGGGGTGTGTCTGCTTGGGGTTTAGGGTTTAGGGTTTAGGGTTTGGGGTTTATTTAGGGTTTCAGGGTTTTAGGGTTTCAGGGTTTTGGGGTTGAGGGCTTTAGGGTTTTAGGGTTTTGGCGTTTTAGGGTTGGGGGGTTTAGGGTCTAGAGTTTTAGGGCATAGGGTTTGGGATTTAGGGTTTTAGGGCTTAGGGTTTTCGGGTTTGGGGTTTGTAGGCTGAGGCTTGAATCAGGTTCAGAGTTACATGTGGGCTGAAGGGTTCAGGGCTCGAAGCTGTGGGGTTTAGGGTTTAGGGTTTGGGGTTTAGGGTTTAGGGTTCAGGGATGTGAGTCTCGTTTGAGGTACCGGTGGCTGCGGAGCTACGGAACTCGTTGGGGTAGTGCGCTCCAATTGCTTCCTAGAGTTCCCACCACTTCTTGACCTCGAGCATCGTTCTGGAGTGGTTTAGGGTTTAGGGTTTAGGGTTTAGGGCTTAGGGTTTAGGGCTTAGGGTTAGGGTTTAAGATTTAGGGTTTCGGGCTCTGACTGCTAAAACAAGAAGTGGTGGCCCAAAACCGCTTCAAAGGACTTCGAGCTGCAAAGCAGGGGCCCCCGGGTGCCCCAAGAACATCGGGCTCTGAGAAGGAGGCCGAGCGTTGCGCGTGACACTGCAGCGCAGCGCCCTGAAACTCCCCAAGCCCTAAACCCTAAACCCTGAACCCTAAACCCTAAAGCCTAAACCCTAAACCCTGAGCCCTGAGCCCTGAACCCTGAACCCTAAAGCTTACGCTCGGGAAGGCCTGCTTGCCAAGGCAGCTGTACTGGGGCGCAGTATCCAGCATGGGGCCTTCCGGGGACGACTCTGTCGGGGCATTTGCTTCCTAAACCCCTGGAACCGGGACATCTCTTCTACAGGTCGAGCATTTGCGCCTAGCACCTGCAGGGTCCCGGCCCGAGAGAGAGAGCGAGAGAGAGAGAGAGAGAGAGAGAGAAAGAGAGAGAGAATTATAGAGAGAGAGAGAGAGACAGAGAGAGACAGAGAGAGACAGAGAGACAGAGAGACACAGAAACAGACAGAGAGAGAGAGAGAGAGAAGAGAGGCAGAGAGATCTGGCAAACATCGTTGTCAGATTGTGCGTTCCCCTACCCATGCCGAATGAGGGCTCAGCTGAAGCCCCAGCGACCCCCCTTCAACCTTCAACCCATCCTCCCTTCGAGCCCATCGCTTAGGTTCATGAGATTCTTCCCTCCAAAGAATGCGGGCCCTCGTCGTTCTTGGAGGGCATGAAGGAGCCGCTCAAGGACCAGGACGGGGAGGAGCGGCGTGCCTGCGCTCTGCATTTCTTTGGCAAGCCTTTTCCAGGGGCAAGCTGTTAGCCCGTGAACCTCTAAACGTCAACGTCTGCATCCAATATACTCCTAGCACCAAAGGCACGTCGAATTCTCTCTGTGAAGAGTTGCTCGTGACTCATGATGTCGCGAAACTCACTAGACGTCTCACGAAGCGAGGTTGTGCCGACTTCCACATCTCAAGGGGTCCAGGGCACAAACGTCGGTGTGCAGCCAGGCAAACCTAGGATACTTGGGGTGTTTTTCAGCGCAACCCGAAAAAGCGAACACCGGTAAACCGAGGGTCCTATAGAGCTGCCGCCAACCTCCTGCGAACTTATCCTGCATCCCTAGCCCCAACTCCCCAACTCCTTACACCCCTACACCCACATGTGCCATTCATAGCTGAAGGCCGAATCGCGAAAACCAGTCTCACCCGAAGCCCGCTCCCCTCAACCCGGAAAAAAACCTGAAAATTCTGAAGCCCTGCGCCTCCAAACAACAAGAAGCCAAGACTGAAGAGCCCCCTCCCCCCCAACCGACTCCCTCCCATTCGAAACCTTAAAAAGCTTTACATCCCTAGCCTCAACTTCACCCTAAACCCCAAACCCTCAAACCCAGTTCCCACCGACAGCGGCTGGCGCCCAAGCCCCGCCGGCTGCCGGTGTGACGCCGGGCCGACTGTCCTTCCGGGTTTAGGGGGTTTAGGGGGTTTAAGGGGTTTAAGGGGTTTGTGGGGTTTGGGGGGAACGAGGTGGTGTTGGGGATATGGGAGTGCTTAGAGGGTTCTGGAAGTACGGCCAAGCAGGCCGGGCCTGGGCGTGCCCGTCGCCGGCAGCATCAGCCGCGGGGGCGTCTTCACGAAGGGAACGCGCTCCTCTGCGGCTTTCGAGGGAGGGGCTGAGGGAGGAAACGTTTTTGTGGTCAATGAAATACAAAACCAATATAGACAACAAGAGGGGGTTTGGTGGTTTACGCGTGAGGGTTTTTTGATCCTCTGGCCCCTAACCCCCAAACCCTAAACCGAGCCGTCGAAAACAGCAACCCCAGACCCCCGGAAAGCTGTATGCCCTGCAGTCAGATCGCCCAACCCCTCTCCTGAAGACTCACACGAACCTTGCCCCTGCAAGAACGAGAATACCAGCAACCTCGGAAACACCCCGAAGCCCTCAAAGCACCTGGCTGAGAGGTTCGGGTCTATTTGGGTGCAGGTTGGGATGTTCCCCCTTGCACTGACAATCTTTGGGGTTTAAGGACTGTTAGTATACGGGGGAACATCCCAGGGTGCAGGGTTGAAAGGGTTTAGCACGACGTGCTGGGATCTTCAAAGTGCCCCCTGCACTTCGCTTCTGCCCTAAACCCTAAACCCCAAACCCTAAACCACATGTCAACCCTCTCGTGGGACTATTTATGGCCCTCTCTTCAACCACTATACCTGAAGGGTGTATAGTAGGGGGTCCTCGACTGGGCCGAAGCTGAACCTGATCAGGTGCCACGCTCTTCCGTCGAAAGATAAAGGTTCAGGGGCTTGGGGACTTCGGGGCTCTTTTAGGGCTCAAGGGCAAACCAAGATGGGGACTTCGGGGCTCTTTTAGGGCTCATGGGGCAAACCAAAATTCGACAACATGCGTGCGATTCGCGTCTGTTTTCTTGAAGTCCGGCTTGCCCACATGGGGCGGCCCGCCAGGCCGCTGCTTTGTTTCGGGAACCCTTGAGGAGTGACCGTACTGTGTAGAAGCGACAAGAAAACAACCCATTGCTCATGTTCTGCTGTTGGCTTCGGGTTGGGAATTCGAGCTGAGCACAGCTTTGCTCAAGGGTTCTGACCCAGGGATCTGCGAGAGTACAAGGGCAGTTAGGGACAAGAGGGTTTCAGGTGATAGGTTCTGCAACTCTCGTATATCGCGTCACTTACGATATGGAAGCGTTTCCCGCATGTCATCAACGCATGGGTTTCAGGCAAGTTGCTTTCAGCCCATTTCTTCTCAATGTCAACCCCAACATTTCGAAAGGTCGCACTGTAGCACTGTGCCCGCAGCCCGAAATATACCCACGCACCTGTTCTCCCCAGCTTTATGTCCAGCAGCAGAATCGTAACAGAAAGACTTTTTGGGTCTACCCTAAGCCAAACCCTGAACCCCAAAACCCTAGGGTTTAGGGTGTAAGATGAAGTGCTGAGGCTTAGGTGTACACAGTGGTATATAGTGGTCAGGACGAGAGGCTTTGGTTGCTGGCGGTACACCGGCTTGTCCTGCGGGCTGTATTCTGCCGCTCCTGGCAAGGCCGTTGTGATGGAAAACCCCAAACTACTTGGAGCCCCAATTTGCTTTGGGTTTGGTGCGTCAGCTACCTAACTTATCAAGCACCCTCACCGCCCTCGCGCAATCTGTGCTCAACGATGCTTGTCCTTGAACCTAAACCCTTCAACCCCAGATGCCCCACGTCTTTATGAGCCTTGAGCCCCAAACCCCTACGACTGGAACCCCAAATCCGAACACCCGGTGAGTGACTCACGCTCAGAGTCCCTAAGCCTACTCCTGGATCTATGCCCAGAGCCCTGCCATCTTTAACTCTGAAAATTTAAGCTCCGATGGAATTTGTTGCAGGCAGTCCCGCCACCTCTGTCCGTCTCTCATGTTGCTTCTTCCTTTCTTTCGTGCTTTTTTCTTCTTTTTCCTATCTGTCGCTCTTTCTCTCACTCTCTCTCTCTCTCTCTTTCTGTTTCTGCTTTCGACTTTTTCTGTTTCTCCTTTCGGCTTTCGCGCAGACTTGAATTCGTCAGTCCAGGGGTCTCTACTGGGAATTAGGGATGCGGCTATGAAAACAGCAGGCCCTTGTCCTGGTGACTCCTTCCCCAGCATCAGATTCCTCGGTGGGGCATCCGCTGGGAGCAGAAAGCAAGTAAACAAGCAAGGTGCGGTAGGGCTCTGAGCTTTCCATCCTAAAATCCCCAAGCCGAAATCCGTCACAACCGAAACCCTAAAACCTGCACCCTTAAACACCCTAACAGTTACGCCCTGTGCAAGCCCTAAATAAACCCGAAACCCTACATCCCTCGACCCGAACCCTGGGCAATCACCCTTAACCCGAAGCCCTCAGCCCTAAACCCTAAACCCTAAACCCTAAACCCTAAACCCTAAACCCTAAACCCTAAACCCTAAACCCTAAACCCTAAACCCTAAACCCTAAACCCTAAACCCTAAACCCTAAACCCTAAACCCCACACCAAGGTACGGATTGGTCACCAAGATCTGAGCATTCTTGTGGGCCATGCGAGACTCCGTGCCTTTGCTTTTCTCGAGGGGGGTGAGGAAGCTGGGCTCAAGAGGGTTAGCCCTAAACCCTAAACCCTAAACCCTAAACCCTAAACCCTGAACCCTGAACCCTAAACCCTAAACCCTGAGCCCTAAATCCTAAACCCTGAACCCTGAAAGTGGGGCTGCGGGTTGAAGCAACCATGAGGTTGCAGCCCGATATTTTCGACCCTTGTCCCGAACATCCGAAAACCCTACCAGCCAAGCCCTAGACCTCAGGGTTTAGGGTTTAGGGTTTAGGCCTTTGGGCCCAGAACCCCAATAGACCAATAAGGAGGCCTGCTGAATTACCACAGGGATTCCGGGGTAAACAAAGGATAACAAGTGGGTGATATTGGCAATGTTTCAAGCTCCTCTGCTACACCCCAAGATCTCACCATCTTGTCGCTACAGGCTGGGCCCCCCGCCGAAGCGAACGAAGGAAGGGCCATGAAACTTCACCTGTTTTTTCCCCGGCGTTTAGGGCTTCGTCGGCAAAGGTCGAGGTTGGGGCTTGGAAATTAATGTACCCCAAGATCCTAAGCCCTGAGCCCATTGTAAACCCTAAGTCCCAGATCCGCCCTGAACGCGCAGCCGATCTAAGCGGCGGAGTTCTCAGGCATGCAATTTTGCATGTTTCAGTCTAGGAGGTGACTGTAGGCCTATGAAGGTGTCAGGATTTGGCATATTCTGGGTTTAGGGTTTAGGGTTAAACCCTAAACCCTAAACCCTTAACCCTAACCCCTAAACCCTAAAGGTTTAAGTTTCAGGGCTCCTCCTCCAAGCATTGGTTTCTGGTCGTCTATAAGGAGGTTGGGTGCTGTTGAGCTCAAGGACCAGTACTGTTTTCGGAGAGAATGGGCTCCGCTACCCAATCGTGGGTGATACCCGCCCACAGGCTTTGAACCCGACAATGCCAACCGCAATCAGCAAAAAACACACAAACTCTCAACCCTAAATGCACCAGAAGAAATTCTTCTGAGCCCTAAAGCCCTAAATCTTAAACCTTGAACCCTCTTGAACCTTAGACCAGAAGAAGCCCGAAACATTAAAGCCCCTACCCTGTAGATTCTGCATCCGGCCTTCTGGCTGTCCACCACGGCGCAGGTCAAGTCCACCGAGCTATCCGGATACCTTCGTTAAGCAGGGTCCTAAACCCTAAACCCTAAACCCCTAAAACCCTAAAGCCCTAAAGCCCTAAAGCCCTAAAACCCTAAAACCCCTGAACCGCTCAACCCCTAAACCCTCAACCCTCAACCCTAAACCATGCCGAAGACCAGTGCCCGACCCCCCCCCCCCCCCACACAACTTCGGCTGAGGCCCTCCCCTACCTCCGGAGTAGACCCTGGAAAAAAGTACATGCTTTTTAGGTACAAGTAGCTAAAATGGGAACCCAGAGCCAAAAAAACAGATTAAAGCATAGTACTCCAAAGCCCAGTCACTGAGCCCCGCCGATGTGCGGTCGCTGCTCCTCCTGCGAAGATGCGGAGCTCTGGACCCCAAAGACGAGGTTTAGGGTGTAGGGTGTTGGGTGTAGGGTGAAGGGTTTAGGGTTTGGGTGTAGGGCTTAGGGCTCATCGGGCTTGGGGTCTAGGGTTTGCGGTTGAGTTTCGGGTCTGGCTCAAACAAAAATATAGAATCATCCCGTGGTCCTATAACTTGCAAGTCGCAAAGAAGCTTTGTCGTGAAGATGGCGGGCAGAGTGCAGCGCCGACAGCGTCTAGGGCCGAGCTCGCAACCCTAAACCATGATCCTGAAATTCATTTTTTCGAGTTTAGGGATGTTGGAGTTTAGGGTTTAGGGTTCAGGGTTGTGCATCGCACGCACTTCTGCGCTGTCCTGAGGAAAAGCATAGCCCGGACCTGCCCCCACCACCGTCGGCACGTCGTAGATGGGGCCTCAGTTCGCGTGAGGGGCTCCATTCGTTGAAGGGTTCTGGAGTTCAGGGTTCATAGGGGCTTGGAGGTTCGGTGTGAAGTCTTCCTTGAACCCTGGCACCAGAACCCCTTTGAAACCTAAACAGAGAACTCGAAACCCTAAACACCCACTATCCCCACTCTGGAACCTAGGAGGTTTGGGAGTTCACGTTGCAGAGTGCTTTCGAATGCTGGAAGCCCGAACAGAGACACAAAGGGTTACGGCGCTCTCGCCGCGTTTCTGTGCGAAGTGAGCGATCTAAGCCATGAGTTAAGGAAGGGTTCAGCTCCAACCTAGTTTAAGAGTTATCAACTACGCATGCAATGAACGAAGCCAGTGAGTGATTGTGTCAGTGATCTTGTTTGCTTGCTTGCTTCATTCGCTTATGCTGACACGCGAAACATAAACAAGCAGGCCGCTACGACTGAGCGAGCAGAGAGTAATTCAAACAGCCATGCCGTGGATAACCTTCTAAAATATCTACTTACGACGTCTTGTCTCTGTCTTCGCCTAAGACTTTTACTTGTATGCTGTCATGCACCCTGTCCGCACACGACATCTTACCGACACTATGGTTAATACATGACACTGGGGTGAACTAGTTGCACACACCTCCGTGCTGGTGTCGATGAATTCACGCTCCCTACTTCTGAGGGTGGCGCGCAGACAACAACAACTGGGAGCTCAGGGCTTGCTATTTGTGTTGCATTTTGCTTCTTGGGGAAGCAGAAACAAAGTGCGCTCTAATGACCGCTCTTTGTTGCACCGTTTAAAGTTTAGCTCTTTGGTAAGTTCACATGCGAAGCGAAGCAAACACAGAGCAAGACAGAGAGACAAGAGAGAGAGAGAGAGAGATAGAGAGAGCGAGAGAGAGAGAGAGAGATGGCATTTAACCTGTACTTTGCCCATCACATAGTTTCATGTGAAGTGACGGAAACGACTACCATGCATGAACATATGTCGGGTGGTTCCTGCCACAAGGAGTCCTACTTTCAACAGGTACCAGAAAGTCCAATGCAAGGTCAACACCTCACTTCTCATACCGCAGCCCATTCCTCAACCCTGGCTGAAGAGCTCGCTGACGGGCTTCGGGTTTAGGGTTTATCCCAAAAAGCCCCCGAACTCTAAACCCTGCCCTAAATCATTTGCAGCAAGAAGCACCAAATCCCAAACCGCTTCCAGCTTACCCAACCATATGCCCTTTGAACATTCCTTGGCCCTGTGCCGGGTGAGTTGAGTCCTGTCTTGGCTCGTCCCGTCAGCTTGGGCGAGAGAAACACCTCGGAAGCACGCACGTAAAGCCCCCAACCCCCACTCAAAACCCAATATCCTAAACCCTAAACCCTAAACCCCTAAACTCTTTAAACTCTTTAAACTCTTTAAACCCTAAACCCTAAACCCTAAACCCTAAACCTAACCCCTAAACCCTAAACCCTAAATCCTAAACCCTAAACCCTAAACCCTGCAGGGCCACCTTCATAGAGGCCACCTCCCGCGACGAGGTCCCAAAAGAGTAGGCTGGGCAGGTCTCCTCCCCACGAGAGGAATCGTAGAGGGTTTCGGGCACAGGGTTTAAGGAACCTAAAACCCGAAAGTTTAGGGTTTAGGCTTTAGGGTTTAGGGTTTAGGGTGACAGCCTAAACCCTATCATCCTAGGGGGCTTGGTAGCGGCCTAGATCGAAGTCTCTTGGGGACCTGGTCAAGCAGACAGGCTCTCCTTTCCTGCGGAACCGGTAGCTATCGCGAATGGGGGCCGAGAAGGTAGGGTGTAGGGTTTGGGTTTAGGGTTTAAGGTTTAGGTTTAGGGGTTGGGGGGACACTAAGCGCGCTAGGTACAACCCCACACTACACACTAAACCGCATTCACCTGTTTCATAACTCAGCAGTCAGGGTGCAGAACTCCCAGAAATGGCATTGCCCTAATACAAAAAACGCATTAAACCAACAAAAGGCGCCCTAATCCTCGCAACCTAAACCCGGCCCTCAGTGGCTTCGATGTACCTGAGGCTACGCGTGTAGGGTTTCGGGCAGGTATGCCAGACCTCAGACCCCAAATGCGTCGTCCTAAACCCTAAGACTTCATGTGAACCCTAAACCATAAACCCTTGAACCTTAAAGCAAAACCAGAAACAGTAAACCCTAAAGCCCCTAAATTATACCCTACATCCTTAAACCCAAAACCCTTAAATCCTAAATCCTTAAGCCCTAAACCCTTGAAGCCTAAATCCTTAAACCCTAAATCCTTAAACCCTGTACAAATCCTTAAACCCTAAACCCTCAAAGCCCTAAATCCTTGAAACCCTAAACCCTGTAAGCCCCTACAGCAGAAGTGAACTTCGGAGCTGAGTGTCCAGCAGGTTTGCCAAGGGAGCCCCGCACCCAAAATGAAAGGGATATTCCCGATCGAGCCCTAAACCCGAAAATGCTGGGCACTCAGCCCTCGAATGCGAAACCCTAAACCCTAAACCCTAAACCCTAAACCCGAAACCCTAAACCCTAAACCCTAAACCCTAAACCCCAAACCCTAAACCCTAACCCTAACCCTAAACCTTTTCCCTAAACCCCAAACCCTAAACCCTAAACCCTAGACCCTAAACCCTAAACCCCTAAACCCCTAAACCCTGGCTAAATGGGAAACTCCGTTTTTGCTTTTGCAACTCGCCCTGCCTTCTTGGAGTTCGTCTGCCGGCCCACTGAGGACACATCGAAGGAGTTTGGCCTCAAATTTCCAGGGCTTTTCGGGTCAATCAAGCTTCTTGGGGGCTGTAGGAACTAGGGTTTAGGGTTTAGGGTTTGATTTTGGGGGGTTTAGGGCTTTTGGGTTAAGGGCTCAGGGAGGTAAGGCATATGCTTGCCTGTTGGCGTGAAGACTGGATTTGAACGTGGTGCAGTGATTCCTCGGGATAGGGCTCAGGTGGCTTTGGGCGTGGGACACATTCCGAAGGAGATTTACCATGTTGTATTGCTTAGGGTTTAGGGTTTAGGGGTCAAGTCCTAGAATTCCCTAAACCCTAAACCCTAAACCCTAAACACTGAGAACTATCGAGTGCCTCTTAAGAAGACAACACGCTCAAAGAGCAACCCGCAGACCGTGCTGAGCTCCCATCTCCAGGTGCGACATCGCGGGTACGAGGCTCTCCCCCTGCACGGCTTGCAGATCTTCGGGGTTTAGGGTTTAGGGTTGTACCTTGGGGAACCTCTTTAAAGATCCTTAAGGTCATATGGGGGTCTACGCCAATAGGGGACCCCCCCAATATAGAGATCTTTTCAAATAACGACGCCAATAAGGTAACCCATAATTTCGGAAACCCCCATATTAGGAGTATATTAGGGGGGAACCTTTGGTACGAGTTTTAATCCCTTGAGTAAGGGGCTTTTGGGTTTGCAGGGTTGCTGTAAGGCTGGGCTGCCCAGGAAGCTAGGATTAAGCTGGGTGTCCTGTTCTTTTTTTGCTTAAAAGGGGGTTTGTAAGGGAACCCAAAGCCCCCCCCCCCCCCCAAAAAAAAAAAAAAGGGAAAAAGGGCACTACCGGCCATCCTAGAAGGTTTTTGTAGGGTTTATGTGGCCCTTCGTAGAGTTTGTGCACCAGCACTTTGTCGACCCTCCAGTTCATGGTGTGTCATGGGGTTTACTGGTTTTGGGCTTCCGCTCTCCCCCATCTTCAGGGGGCCCTAAACCCCAAACTGGCCCTAAACCCTAAACCCTAAACCCTCAACCCTCAACCCTAAACCCTAAACCCTAAACCCTAAAGTGTGCGAGCCCGAGCCCAGCCTAACGATCGCGCCGGACGGCGGCTTCTTGGCCGCGGGAGACGGGAGATGCGTAAAAAAAAACGCAAGTTTGATAGACAGCTGGGGTACTCAAAGGGGAAATATTGCTAGACACATTTAGTGCGACATCTTGTCACCACGCCTCTTGCAACATGGATACTCTTGGGAACATGTCCTCGAACACCTGGCCACGTGCTGTTTCGAGCCCAGCTGGCAGGCAGCAGCAAGTCCGTGCAACCCTAAACCCGACCCCAAACCCCCACCAGGGGGGCTGGCCCACCCGAAACCCTAAACCCACAGCAAAGGGACTCCAAGAGCGCTGAAAACGTGCCACCTCGAAACCTTCAACATCCTCTGAAGTCCCCTGACTCGAACTCTTGCTGCAGCAGCACGCTCGAAGGTACACTTTGCTTCTTGGTTTTCGGGCATAGGGTATAGTCGCTGGTAGGGGTTCGGACGTAAGTAGGGCTACAAGTACCCCACACCAGGTTGTCAACAACGAAACCATAGCTACCCAGTTACGCTGTTATAACGCCAGATATAACTAGCTCCCCGAGAACCTCCAACCCTAAACACCCTTTTGAAACTAGCCAGCTCATACGCCCCCGTTTAAACTTTAAACTTTAAAGCGTGGAACCAAACCCCTAAACCCTCAACCCTAAACCCTAGAAACACCCCTAAACCCTGAGCCCTGAACCCTAAATTTGAACCCAACACATTCGTACGCTAACTCCAAGAATCCATTTTCGGAGTCGGTCAATCCCAGTGTTCAGGCCAGGAAGGGAACTCCCAACACACCTTCTAATCGGCTCATGGGGCTGAGGGTTGAGGGTTCAGGGTATGGGTTTCGGGTTTAGGGTCTAGGGTTTAAGTTTTAGGGTTTAGGGGTTTAGGAGTTTAGGGGTTTATGGTATAAGGGCAGCAGGCGTTATGTAAGGGTTCTATAAGGGTTATATGGCTATATTTTAAGCGGCTTAAGGGTGTCTGTAGGGGTTCGTATTTGAGGTATGTGGGGGGAAGCTGCCCGCCTGACATGGGACTAGATTTTAAACCCGAAGCCCTAAACCCCAGACCATACACCCTAAACCTAGAGGTTAAGGTTCAGGGTTCTAAGCTTCAGGGTTGACGGTTGGAAAACATGCAATCTCCCAAGGCCTACCCAGCAGTATGTACAAGCGACATGCCAAACACATCAGCTGTGTTTGTGATGTTCACCCACTCTAAACCATCAACCCTAAACCCGAAACCCTAAACCCTAATCCTAAACCCTAAACCGTCAACAATGGATCCGGACTCGAATCCGCCGCCATGCTTTTCCTTTTTGTCGGCATCGACTGAAGCCAAGGAAATCCAGGGCGCCCGAAGCCTTGTTCAATACCTCCGGATCCGGGGACATTGCAGGATGGAGAGGATTAGGGTCTAGGGGTCTAGGGGTCTAGGGTTCTAGGGGTCTAGGTGTCTAGGGGTTTAAGGGCTGAGAGGGGGCGTTAATGTCCAGGCTTTCCTGCACGGAAAGTACAATCAAGAACTTTGAGCTGCTTAGTTGCAACGTGTGGGGCCTAGGCCGTTCTTTTGTTTGGGTATGTGGGAGCAAAACTCATGTTGATCACGAAGCTCAATGTAAGAAAGCAAAAACACGCCTCGACGCGATCGGCAATCTGGACTTGTGTGCTGCGCTTGTTACATATCGCCTTTTGATGCCTGGAATGTTTTGTTTCAATCGCTGACAGCACTTCATTGTGCACTCCGAACGTATACGGACAGGCCATCACTTGCACTGGAGAGAAGTTTAGGGCTAAAACACTCAGGCCGAGTTCGTGCATGTAGCACGGCCAACTTGCGTAGTGCTGGCGTGTAGGAGTTTCGTCATTCTGGTTCGCACATCTGGGCACCTGTCTCGGAATAACTAGCCTGAACATGTGAACGCTTCTGCAAGTCTTGCTAACAACAACGCCAAAATAGAGTAAACAAGCTAGCAATCCAACAACAAAGCATCATCATCAGTAGCACCATCATCAGCATCAGCATCAGCATCAGCAGCAGCAGCATTATCACCATGTTTTGCTCACCATCATCACCATGATCATGATCGTGATCGTCGTTGTCAGCATCATCATCATCATCATCACCCTTTCCCGTTTGCTCGTCAACGGCACGCTCACTCTAAGTCTTGGCACTCATAACACAAGATCCTATACCTTCTTCACCCGACCAGCAAGCAGCCTGGCTACGCCTTGCCATCAAGATGAGCCTTATTATTAATAATAAGCGTTAGTACACCAAACATGTCATCAACACGAACTTGGGCGCCGCACTGCAGCACGCCAACGGTTTGCGTCTCCGCCCCATCGAAAAAGTCAGCGGTCTGCGTCGCCCAGGCGGGGACAGGCCTTGCATCTTTCCTACAAGTACATAGGGAAGAGAGGACCTTTTTCTGAATCGCAAAGGGCCTAGACTCAGGTTACCCTCAAAACTCAGGGCGGGCTCTCTCTCAAAAAGTTTAAAGTTCATTCATCCTGAAAGCTTGAGAGTGGATGTTTCTTTTTCTGTCTTCTCCGTTCTTGGTCTGTTGTCTACACTAGCCAGCCCGCTGGCTTGCTACAAGCACGCAGTTAGTGCAACTTTTGCACTCCGAGAGTAGCGGCACAATCTTCTGTTTACATCGAGCTTTGCCATGCGACGACACGAAGGACGAAGCCGACGGCAAGCGAAAGGAGACACCCAAGAAATGAAGGACACCCCGCAGACATACTCGGGCAGCGGCAACATGCCAACGCGTTCAAAACCGCTGGACTTTGACTTCCTAAGTACGGAAAGCGCAGCACACGGGCATGAAGGTTTGGATTTCGAATGGCGGCTCGTGGGAGAGTGCCTGAAGCTCCTGTAACTTTCGAGGGCCCCAAACGATGTCTTTGGTATCGCTCGTCGTCCTCTCATTTTCATGGTGCCATGTCGCAGCGAAATGCAGTTCATGCGTGGAGGCTTCTGCCGGACATACTTGCCTGGGAATGATACGATGCACAATCGTAACTGTAGGACTCACATTGGACACAACTTGGTTCGCCCAGTCCTTAATAGGGACTAGAATAGGGGGTACTATAATCCCAATTGAGGACTGTAAGTATCAGGGGGCGACACAACTGCAAGGGGGAAGTTGTGCTGCACATGGGCCTAACAACACCGATACAAACACTAAACCCAAAAAAGTGCCTGCCTCGCTGTTAAGTTTCAGAATTCAGGCCACCGGACTTTCCTTAAAACAATCCAGGAAAGTAAAATCCAGGAACGATAAGAAAGAAATATCTGAACAATGTTATATTCTTCAGCAAAGATCTGTCTGAATTCTGTTTTCTTTCCAGAAAAGCATTTCAAGCAATAAGGTTTTGTGCAAGAAGCTGAAACATGTATGTCTAATTTCTGGTTTTGCAATAGGGCTTCATTGAAAACTCTTGTTGCACGCATTTCCTGCCGAATACAACCTTTTCCGGAAAGAATTTGACATCACTCGCTTTTGTATATGTAGCTTTGAAACCACCCCCCTCGGTCCCACGTGCCTGCTCCTCCGGTAACTCTGTAACCCTCAGCACTTGCGCCCAGACATAAAATACGGCCCCGGGAAAAGGTTTCTCAAAAAACCCCATGAACCATGGAATGTAAACCCTAAACCCTAAACCCTAAACCCTAAACCCTAAACCCTAAACCCTAAACGCCCTAAAACCTAAACTAACAGCCTAGGCTTTGGTATTGAGCTGCGGAACCTGTCGAAAAGACTCCTTTCAGCTGGGCTTTCGCGCTCGCAAGGATGCTGCACCCCGAACAGCTATGGTTTGGGGCTCAGGGGTTTAGAGTTTAGGTTTAGGCGTCCTAGTTCAGGAGCTACAGCTCGGGGGCCTTATAGCATTTAAACCCTAAACCCTAAACCCTAATCCCTCATCCCTAATCCCTAATCCCTAATCCCTAAATCACCTGGGCTATAGAGGAACCGAGCCAACCCAGGCAGCCTTTGTTAAAGCTTCAGTTTTTGTATTATCCCTGTGGAAGGTACCACTGATATCATAATCCCTCATATCCTTGCTTGGGTTTTTTTAACCCCAAACCCTAAACCCTAAAGCCTAAAGCCTAAACCCTAAACCCTAAAACCCCAAACCCCTAAACCCCTAAACCCGAAAGCCTCTTCAAGGGCCGGGCATTTCCTTGAAGTGAGCGTCGGAGCCATAGGCGGCCTTGAAAGCCTGTCTTCAAGGTGGGCTTTTAGGTTCAAAGTTTAAGCAGTCTAGGGTTTTTTGGGGTTTCGGGTTTAAGGTTTAGGGCGTTTCAGTGGGTGAGCACTCGGTAGCCCAAGGGTTAGGGA